ACACTTCTCTTTGTAATTTATGAAATGAGAAGACATTCAATTTTTTGCAAAGTTTGGAATATTCTAATTTCCTTTACTGAGTGAAAGGAATTTAAAAAGCCTGAGTAGTCTTAACTTTAAAATATTACCTTTTTACATCAATGGAAATATGAAAAGGAAAGTAGATAAGTCAATGACAACAGTGAACATTGAAAACCCTAAACATGGATGAATTACTAAGACCAGTAAAAGTGAATGCGACAGTTGAAAATGGTTTTTAAACAATAATCTATATTTTCTGATGTTTTCTTATCATGTTATGCTGAATCTGTATAAATTAAAAATTTACTAACCATTTTTACTTGCCCAGATGTTTTCTTTTTCCATTTTGTTGGTCTTCGCTGAGCTAAAATCATCTAGATAAGAAAAAACACAAAATTGAGTGGATATGGCACACGAAAAAGTACTCATGATAGTTACATCCAGAAGTGCACCTTTAATTAGATCCAGAAATACACACATTTGAAGTAATAGTTTGTTAAAATCTAAAGAACAAATAGTAATACTGAAATGTTAGGGTGTTTTTTGTTTGTTTGTTTTGTTTTGTTTTTTCAACACAGTAAAATAAGATCCAGTATTTGAAACATAGTTTTGGCATTTTTAAAATGAATTTGGGGAAGTAATTTTATTAGAGCATTAGGCTATAATGTGTGATATGCATGTAATAATATGTACTTTTAATATTTGTTGTGAGGATTTTTTTAAACATTATTAAAGTAAGCATGGTGGATAATTTTTGGTTTGGTTATGCTTTTGCTCCTTAGCATTCAAATTCTCTTTTTAATGACTGAGATTTGAAAAAGAACAGCCTTTTGGCCAGATGCGGTGGCCCATGCCTGTGATCTTAGCACGTGGGAGGCCAAGGCAGTGGAACATCTGAGGTCAGGAATTTGAGACCCGCCTAGCCAACGTGGCGAAACAATAACTTAAGCCTGACTGTATTTGAGAACAGAGTGGGTAAGGAAGTCCGTTGTCAATTGCTGAATGTTTGAAATTGCATTGTCCTGAGTGCTTAATGGCAACATTTTCCCTACTAAATAAATGCTGTACACACACAGACACAGACACACACACGTATATATATACAAAAATACATATATATTTATTTAAAACAGGAAAAATATTATTTTTGTCTTTTATGCTAAAAGATGTTTAAATCTTGAACTGAATTCACATATCACTTCCCATTCATTCATTTTTTAAGCTAAGGATACAAACCTAATTAAGTTTTCCTTAGTCAGTCATTTGAAAGCTGTCATGGTCCAATCACTTCTGAAGGAAATACTTTAGCAATTACTTTAGTCAATGTGCATGGCAATGGTCAGGGACTTCATTTTATTCAAAATTAGCAGCAGTGAATAGCGTATTGCAAATGACAAGCATTTAGGAAATGTTAGCTGAATTATTCAAAATTAAGTACAAAGTTTCTAGTGAATATATACATATATATTCAGCAGATATAAATATATATATTCAGTAGATATGAAAGTATGTATATATAGCATCCAACTAAACAGTGCTTGGCTTATTGTAACTATTATATGACAAGATTTCTTTCATTTTCCTATAGCATATTATATAAATTATTCTTTATAAATCTCTAAAGGACCAATTGACTTTGATATAAATTGTAACTGTTTTATCCACAACCCACTTACAAACTCCATTTTCTATGGACCTTCTGATAGTGTTTGCCCTATTTGAATAATAAAATCATCCAGAAGGAACTCATCACTGTAGACAGCATCAGGCATCTGCAGAGTTCATTAGAGACTGCTCCACAAAAAAAACTTCCTTTGCCTCCATATGTTCTTTTTACAACTGTAATAAGAGCTATTATCTACGAGGTGATGACTATTTTCCAGGTTATCCATAAAACTTAAAAATGCATATGTTATCTTAAGGAGTACTGAAACTAAAAGAATAAAATAAAATCTTAAATTGTCTAAAGTCAAATTATTTGTAGATGGGAGCAAAGCCTGGTTTTCTTGCCCTGATGGCATCTTCCCTTATCCTAAAATAGTTGCTTTTTATTTATTTATTTATTTTTTAATGAGTGTTTCTTTAACCTTTATGGTATCTTTGGCTATGATATGTTGTCTTCATTACATTTGCTGCTTTGTGCCCACCCTTCTCTTTTTCTGACCCAGTAGTTGTTTCCCTCCTGGCCTTGTCCACGTGAATTGTGGTCAGATGCCATAATCCGCCCTCTCTCCTTTGGCCTACGGACCTGGCCTGTAGAGGGTCCCAGGGCCTCGGTGGGGACAGCCTGGTCTTCACAGGGCCCATTTTACCTCTCCTAGACCCTAGGATCATTGTTAACAACCATGACGTGAGCCATAAATGAGGGGAACACTGATTCTTTGAGAATATGCACAATAGCTTTTAGTAAATTGGCAAACTTCTGCCCAAAATGGCATTTGATTCTCCTCTAAGCAAGTGAAATCCACTGCTGTCTTAACATGTAACTAACTAGGTGAAACTTATTTTGTTAGCAGTTCTTGTTGACGTTTAATAGATCTTTTGACATCTATTTTGCTTTAGAGACCAAATGATTTTGAACTTTTCATCTGAGATTGCTAATTGAACCTAGAGAAAGCTGAATGATCATACCATAAATCAGCCACATTGGCTATGGTTTTCAGGGATAAGAAAATAAAATAGTTTATATTTTTGGGATTCATATAAAGGAATTCACTGCATGTAAAATAACAACTTTTGTATGCTAATGTTCCCAAAAAGGAAAGCTTTGGACTAAAAGAATCAATAAATAAAATAATGTGTTTTAAATTATAAAGCAATACAAACACACTGTTTAACAATAGAAATTACAGACGAATAAAAAGAAGAAAATGAAATTTGTTAGCAACTTCATAAATAACTAGATAACCACTCACTTGTTGGCAAATGTTATTTTTTTTTTAGAGGAAGTCCCACTCTGTTGCCCAGGCTGGAGTGCAGTGGTGCAATCTCAGCTCACTGCAACCTCCGTCTCCCAGGTTCAAGAGATTCTCCTGCCTCAGCCTCCCAAGTAGCTGGGACTACAGGCACGCCACCAAGACTGGCTAATTTTTGTATTTTTAGTAGAGACGGGGTTTCATCATGTTAGCCAGGATGTTCTCAATCTCCTGACCTTGTGATCCACCCGCCTTGGCCTCCCAAAGCGCTGGGATTATAGTCATGAGCCACTTCACACTGCCAATTTTTTTTTTTTTTTTTTTTGGCAGAGTCTCACATTGTTGCCCATACTAGAGTGCAGTGGTGCAATCACGGCTCACTGCAACCTCAATCTCCCAGGCTCAAGCAATCCCCCCACCTCAGGCTCCAGAGTAGCTGGAACTATAGGAGTGCACCATGATGCCTGAACTAATTTTTTTAAATTTATTTTTTGTAGAAATGGGCCTGTGTTGCCCAAATTGGTCTCAAACTCCTGGACTCAAGCAATCCTCCTGCCTCGGCCTTCCAAAATGCTGGAATTACAGGCATTAGTCACTGTGCCGGCTGTAAATATTTTTCTGTACACGTGTTTTTAACGTGAACACACTTATGAGGGTCACCTCCTACACATGTCCAACAAGTATTCCATAATTTTGCACCAATACCACATTATCATAAACAATGTAGAATTTTAAAAAATATACCCTGATATTTGATAGAACAAATCCTCTGTTTAAACTACTTCAAAAGTCAATTGACATTTTGGGATCTTTATCTTCTCCTATGAGTCTTACACGAGTTTGTCAACTTCAGTGAAAAAAAAAGCACAGGGCAATTTTTATTGAAATTTCATTGAATGCATAGATTGATTTGGAAAGAAGTTTTAAAAGTCTTCCCATCTGTGGATCTGATATATTTGTTTAATCATTTATATTTTATATTAAGTCCTTCCATTTTTTTCAAATTATAAACTATGCTGCAACTAATTATTGCTAAATTTCCATATATGTTCTTAATATTTCTTTAAACTAGAATGCAATTATTGGGTTTGAGGAAAAAACATTTACTACTATGTTAATTCATAATTAAACTAAGTATAGTGAAAGCATAATATTTTTAAGTAATTTATCATTTTTCATATTATATTAATATCTGGATTGTGCAGAATTAGCAGTACTAGGCAGCTGAATTCAATGCTGTGTTTTATTTGTTTATTTATTTACGTATTTATTTTGCCGTGTTTCCTTCTGAGAGAAAGGGCCTGCTATTTTCTGGTGTTCAGCTATCCAAATGCCTTGTCTGATGCCTGCGTGTGTGATAGTAGAATAACCAAAGTTCATGTAGATTTACAGTTTATGCACAGCTCCGGAAGCTAAAATGCATTTAGGTAATATGCGACAGAAGGGTTTCTAGTATCCAAAGGATACGAATAAAATTGGCACAGAAATATAGGTTTGTCTTCTTCAGTAGAAGAACTAGGGTTAATTTTTTTCATTTTTGTGATAGCTTGGGGGGCAGGTATCTGTCACAATAAGAAAAAAGAAAGGGAATCAATTTTTTTGTCAAAGAAGTTAGAAAAACTACAAGAAAGAATGATTTCATAAGTAGGGAAAAATCAAGTAAATGGGAAGAAGTACAACTAACAGGAAAATGATTATGCTTCACATTTAGCTAAGAGGGAAGTTCATTAAACCATGAAATAGTAATCCATGTCCAAGCTCTTCCCTAAAACATGCAACATAAGCATTTGAAAAAACTGTGAAATTATTTCTTCATTTTTCTTCCTTTTGTTTTTCATAAATGCATAGTTAATTGTTGCCATAGGATATAGCTTAGAATAAATCATTTCTTCCACAAAAATGTATAACAATGTCTCAAAATTAATAAACTCTGGATTGTTATAAAAATAAAGAAAATAGAGCAAATTATCTGGATTTGAAAGAACATCTTACCTAAAACTGGAATTTAATGATGCAAGGAAATCACTAAGGAAATGAAAAAGCACACTTTAATTTTAGTCTGTCAGTTTCCTGATGTGGCAGTATCATAGCCAATGAGGTTTAGCCAAGGTGCGATTATTGCTAATTGAAATCTTTTCCCAATACCCAGCCATGACGACTTGAAATATAGTAGGCGTTGGCAATTTTTGGCAGTCTCTACAGAGGCTGAATCATAAAAAGAAAACAAAAGAAAAGAAAAATAATGCTGCTGAAAAAATTGTGTATTTCCATAATTAGTTTATCTCATGGATGGTTTCTGTTACTGTCAGTGTTACAGTTCTAATAGAACACATGGATGAAATTCTAATAAAAGAATCTCCTCTCCACTGAACTACCTGATAGAACTTTCAGCAGTAATAGCAATGTTCTTCTACACTGCATAATACGGTAGCCACCTGCCACGTAGGACAATTGAGCACCTCAAAATGTGGCTAATGTGACTGAGGAACTGCATTTTAAGTTTATTTCATTTAATTTTAATTTTAATTTTAGTCACATGTGCTCGGTGTGTACACTATTGGGAAGTGGAGCTCAGGAGAATAATTTCGAAAGGAAAAACGTCAAGTGAAAACACTATGAATTATAGATGAATTATTTAGAGACTGAGTTAGCTGTTCTCTGAAAAACTTCACAGGGGATGGACCACATCAGCTTTAAAATTGAGATCTGGAGCTTTCACTCATTTTGTGACATTTAATATGTTGAAAAGTCTCCAAAATGCTGTGAGGAAAACAACTAGCAATTAGTACAGCTAACCTACTTTTAAAAATTCAAAATGTTAAAAGATGTTTTCAAAGTATTGATTTTTCTAAAGTATTTTCCAAAGATATTTTAATATGAACTTTACAAATAATTCAGGAACACGTTATTAGAAATTATGTAATACATCCTGTCTTTCTATTTTCATAATTAAAACAAAATACATTCTTATACCACACTACTGTAAATTAAAAACTAGGTAAAAGCTAGCTAAGGAAACTGGATATTAGCTAACTGGAAGGTTAATATCATCCCATCACTAAATAGCTGTTGATAGGCAGTGATAGTATTTTTATTTTAATTCATCGCCTGATGGAAAATTAAGGATAGTGAGATTTTGATCAATCATTTTAAATGAAAAGGACTGTATAGAAAGGTAGATTTATTTCTTGTATTTCATAATAAAAACATTTTTTCTAATACAGGAATTGGAAGCTTAGGGCTTATAGTCTGAGATATAGTTATATGCAGTCTTATATACAGTAGGGGAACCATGACTGATACTTATAATGAATCACTTATAATACTTAAAATAATAGTATATCGTATTTAACATATATAATATACATAATATAATAAATACTTGGTATATAGTGACTTATGATACATCACTATTTATAGTGATTTATTATAAGAATTGGTTGATGTGATTCAATAGCAACAAAAGTTCTTAATTAGCTAGAAATAACTCTAACACATTATATTATATATATATAGTGATTTATTATTATTATCTTTAATATATATTTTATTGCATTTTAGGTTTTGGGTACATGTGAAGAACATGCAGGATTGTTGCATAGGTACATACTTGGCAATGTGGTTTGCTGCCTGCATCCCCATCACCTATATCTGGCATTTCTCCCAATGTTGTGGCTCCCCAACTCCCTACCCCTGCTGTCCCTCCCCTAATTCCCCCCCACAGACCCCAGTGTGTGATGCTCCCCTCCCTGTGTCCATGTGTTCCCACTGTTCAACATAGTGATTTATTATAAGAATTGTTGGATTTGATTATGGAGGAGATACATATATATACGTATATCCTATTCTGTTAGATATATCTACCTATCTAGATAGAGATAGATAGATAGACAGATAGACAGATAGATCATATACACATATATATATATATATATATATATATATATATATATATATATATATATATATATATATATATATATATATATGTCTCTCCTATTCTGTTTCTCTGGGTAACACTGACTAATGCAGAGTGTGACTAGAAGTTACATCTGTCACTTCCTCCTTAGGCATTGATACACTGGTTGTGCCTCTCACAGGCTGTCTTTGCTTGGACACAGATTAAGCTATGAAGCTATGACAATATTTACAATGCCTTCAGTAGGCATTCTTAAACTGGGGCTTATGAGAACCCCAAATTCTGTGAATAGAATTTTGGATCTGCGAGTGGAAACTTGTAGCTTTATTACTATGAGTTTTTAACTGCAATTCAGCATTTCCTTCAATAATGAAGGTAAACTAAAAACTACGTAAAGAGAAGTATTTGAAACTGTACAGTATTGAAACTGCTTTGCAATTATAACTACATGTCCTTTTAATGACACACATTTTATTTTACGCACTTCAAAGCATTATTTTGAGACAGAGCCATAGCTTCACTAGATGGCCAGAGGGATTCATGAAATGGCTGAGGACCTCAGGTATAGGGTATTGTGGAACAGCAGGATGGGACAACCCGAGTTTCTGAAAACCTGGATGGAGCAGAGCTTCCTCATCAACCTTTCATGTTGGCAGTGCTAGGTTTTAGAGATAGCTTGTTGTTTGATTTTTTTCTTAAGCAATTTTATTTCATTCAAAATACATATATTACAAAGACCCACAACAGACGTTGCATTTAATGATGAAAAGTTAGTGATATCACTATCAATGGCAGCAAATAAGACAAATTAATGTCACAAAGATATCCTAATAAATGCAATAAGAAATGAATATAAAATGATAAAAATGGAACAAATAGCAAAACGATATTTACAATTCTTACAATTATCTATACAAAAACAAAAACTCTTTCTAGATAGAAAGTGTTAAAATTAGTGATTATGATGTGAGCCTACAGACTCCATCTTAGATGAGAGCCTAACAAACCCCATCTTAGCCTCTCCCCACCCCCCGCCATTTCTCCTTCGGGTGCACAGCTGGGTCACGCTGTCTCCCACACCTTGTAACCTTTGTAATCACATCCTGCTTGGCAAAGTGCCCCGGCTGTTGTGAATACCCCCCTTGGTAACCAACAATTATGGGACCGCTCCTGCCTCCTGGTTACCAGCTTTCCTCTTCTAACCTGCTTGTTCTGCTTCTGTAAAATTCTGCTTCAGCTAGGCTCCCCCTCCCCTTTCCCCTAGACTGGGTATCAAAAGAAATCACATTGCCCTAGTGGGGGCCGAGAGATTTTTGCTCATGAGCTGCCTCTCGGTCACTGGCAATAAAGGACTCTCAATTGAAACTCAGAGTGTGGCGCTTTCCTTCTAACTCACTAGGGTAGAGGGTATAACAATTCTAATGAGTCTTACACAACAGAAATAAGAGAAAATGGAATTTTTGTTTTTTAATTTTTTTTTTTACTTTAAGATGGAGTCTTGCTCTTTTGCCCAGGCTGGAGTGCAGTGGTGCAATCTTGGCTCACTGCAGCCGCCACATCCTGGGTTCAAGTGATTCTCCTGCCTCAGCCTCATGAGTAGCTGGTACTACAGGTCCAGCTAATTCGTGTATTTTTAGTAGAGACAGGGTTTCACCATATTGGTCAGGCTTGTCTTGAACTCCTGACCTTATGATCCCCTGCCTCAGTGTCCCAAAGTGCTGATATTACAGGTGTGAGCCATTGCCTTTTAAACTTTAAAAATTAAAAAAAAAAAAATTTAAACTATATATATGAGTTTTTTGTTATTTTGTGTTTTTGTGTTTTTTTTGACAGGGTCTTGCTCTGCTGCCCCGGCTAAAGTGCAGTGGTGCAATCTTAGCTCACTGCAACCTCCAATTCTCAGGTTCAAACAATTCTCATGCCTCAGCCTTTTGAGTAACTGGCATTATAGGTGTGTGCTGCCACACCGAGCTAATTTTTTCATATTTTTAGGTCAAGATGAGGGTTCACTATGTTGGCCAGGCTGGTCTCCAATTCCTGATCTCAAATCATCCACCTGCCTCAGCCTCCTAAAGTGCTGGATTACAGGTGTAAGCCACGGCTCCCAGACTGTGATTTATTTTTTATTTTTTTGAGACAGAATCTCGCCCTGTTACTCAGGCTAGAGTGCAGTGGCACCATCACTGGTCACTGCAGCCTTGAACTCCCGGTCTCAGGTGACCCTCCCATGTCAGCCTCCTGAGTAGATGTGAATATAGGCATGTGCCATCACGCTTGGCTAATTTTTTTAAAAATTGCTTTGTAAAAACGAGGTCTCACTATGTTGCCCAGGCTTGTTTTGAACTCCTGGGCTAAGCAGTCCTCCCACCTCTGCCTCCCAAAGCATTAGGATTACAGATGTGAGCCACTGTGCTCAGCCCCAAGATATTTTCAGTAGCAACAAAAGTTCAAAATTAGCTAGAAATAAATCTAACAACAAAAATGTAAGATTTATTAAAAGTAGGAACCCTTATCGAAAGACTTTAATATATTCCAAAATAAATATTGAGATGTATCATGTTCCTATTTTTGAAATTATATCCATCCTGTCCAATTTAGCCAGGAAACTCAATTTTAATTTAAATTGCATAATACTTCCGTAGTACTTTACAAAATGATTCTAGATTTTATTTTTTAAAAGGAAAATGTATGGGGAGGGTAGACCCCCTTCCAATATCAAGATTTTGTATAAAGTGTCACACATACACACCTGCAGTGAAAACGACAATGTGACTGGAAAATAGAACAATGGAGTAGAATAGAGGAAACAGAAACAAAAATCTCTATTCATAGAGCTTTGAGGGAAAGCACTAAGGAAGAAACAGGTGAACTCGTAAATAAATCTGATTGAACTACAGTTACTCATATGGAGAGCTAAATTAACTTGATCCCCACCTCATATTAAGCATAAACTTAAATTCCAGAGAGATTAAAAAATGAATTTTAAAATGAAAAACTTTTGGAATAAAAGATGGGAGATTTGTTTTATGAACTTAGATGAATGGAAGGATTTCTTAAATAAGACTCAGAAATACAAACAGTAAGAATGTTCTTAATGAATTTTTTTTCTATTTTTCCTTTTTATGTTTTTTTGTTTAATGAATATTTTTAATGAATCTTATTAAATAAAAATGAAAATTCAATCTCTCCAAATAACATCTATAAAGTAAAAACTGAGCCAGCAATTTAAACAAAGACATTTGTAAAGCATAAAACTTAAAATTGATTTGTATCTTTAGTAAATAAA